TTTTTTTTTTTTTTTTTTTTTTTAAATTTAGATTTCACACAAAAGGTGCACCACCAAGACCAACTTTAACAGTCATTATTTCAATATCATATTTGACATCATATCTCTTATATCTTTTTCTTCATTATCACATTATATCACTTATTATCATATCTATATTTCTTTCTTTTTTATCGCTTTCTATCATACCTATGCGTTCTCAATACACTAATTTTGGGTTGTTTGTCGAAACAAGTTTAAAATCCTTCTTCTTCCCGTCAAACCATTGATCATGTGCATGTCTAAAGCTCCCATATGTGGTAATATGGTTCAATGGCTCACTTCAGATCTGCATAGGAGGCTACTTTACTATTTTGTTGACCGAGACCAAAACCTTGTTGAGCAATAAATGTACATGCAACAGATAACAGATTCTCATTTATTGAAGTTGCTTTACAGCACAATAATTTATTTCTAACTTAACGGCAAGAATGTATTTCAAGTTAGTATTTCATGACAGATTCTTGCATTATTAAAATAATGTTTAATTAGTGAAAATTACATCTACAAATGCAAATTAATTATTAATTATCAATTTAAAAATTTTGGGTAGACCATATTAAAAAAAAAATAAAGAAAAATAATAGCTCTTGTCTTGGTAATGGTCTAGAAAGCCGAAAGTGTTTGATACACGAGCTTTGACAGAAATATGTTTTTGAATATGGAAACCGGCTTTCAATATGTAAATTTTTACATTACAAAATTTAGTTTTTTATAATTTAAGTTTTTTACTTTATAGAAATTAGTTTTTATAATATATAAAAAATTTAAAAGAATTATATTACGTAAATTATTTTTCATAATTAAAAGGTGGTCCTGAACCGTACGCTCTTTAACTAATTTGACGGTGTGCATGAATCGTTTAAATCTCTTAGTACTGATTTTCATTCCCATGTCAAAAAATTTTTTTAGAAAATTTCATTTTGTACACAATTTTTTCCCATAAATAATAGTTCATTTTATGTAAGATCGAATAACTAAAGAAAAAATAGTCTACGCACGTAAATAATTTCTACAGTACAATTTAATTAAAAATCGCTATGTATATTAAATTTATTGATTTTTACAAAAAAAAAAATTGCTTAAAAATCATACATATCATAATTTGTAATTGGTTGACTGTACATAATTATTAAACTCATAATAAAATTTCTTTTATTTGAATCTTGTAAATTAGTTTGTGGTTAATTAAGTTTATTTTAAGACATAATAGTAATTGCTTTCATGAATATAATTTATTGATAAATTTTTTTTAAAAAAAAAAACATAATTTTTTTCCTGAAGTATATAGCTGTTTCCCAAGCATCTATAATATTTATAATTTGGAGCAAGTAGATCCATAGAAAAACTTCTTGAAAAATTTATCAACTTTAACAATCATCCTATACTTTTAGAATAAATTGGTAAAGACTCTGGATATTATTCAAGTTGAGTGAAGAAAAATGCTTTCCATCCTTATCTGAATATATATGCTTGATGGTTATCTTTCCATCATTAGGCATCCCCACACACAGCAAGGGATTGAGATTGAACTACGTTAGAGATATGACTTCCACATTTTGAATTTGGAGTTCTTTTACACGAGTCTATAGCATTAAATTAGTAAATGTAGTTTTCTTTTTTGTGTGGAAACAATTAATACAAGTAACGTAATATTAAAAGAAAATAAAAAGTTTGGCGGGGTAGTTGCCTCCAAAACCTATAACATATATATATAGTTCGGTCTTTGTGAATCCAGAAACAAGTAATCATGTAGTGTTACTTGGTCTAATGTTTATCGTTGGTGACTAATCTTTGGAGATTGCGTATATATAGTTTGTTTAGGCTTGTGGTGGGTAATAAACGTACCCCTACCCCCATGCAAACAAGTTGAAATCAGAGAAATTTCCCTTTCTATTTTAATTAGTTGGAGAAATTGAACAAGTTTTCTTAGAAAATACTATTATTATTGTAATGGTTGTGATCAAGCTGGACTACGCTCACTTGTGTGTTGTTCTAATGTTCCTTTTCAGCAGCCTTGACTCTGGAGCAGAAAAATGTGAGCTAGGCCAGTACGGTAGTACCTGCAAATTAAAGACATTCTTATTATGAATTCTGAAGATAGTTTATTTTACAAATAATAAAATTATTATTAGTATTGTTATGAAATTAAATAAATTATGAGATATGTTGGAATACGAACAAGTTTCACATTGATAAAATAAGAGAAAAAAATAACAATTTATAAAATATACTCATATTCCAATGATAGAAAAGCTTTTTGGCTAATGACTAAAACTAAAATCGTGAGAACTTAAGACTTAAGCGGATAATATCTCATCATTGTAAAGTATGCTTGTGTAATAATCTTATAAAAATAACTCTTGTAAAATATCCCCTCAAACAAATACCATAAAATAATCCCAAAATAAAAAAAAATATAGCAAGTAAAAGACAAAATTTGATAAAAGAGAGATAATGAATTCAAACATATAACCACTTATAATATATATATATATATATATATACACTTATTTTTTTTCATAGTTAAAATAAGAGTTAATCATCCACACATTGTCGGTGTAAAGTTTTTTACACTGACAATCAATCATATCTTTTAAATTATTTTATTTTATTTTTATTCCATTAAATGAGCAACTGACAAGACACTGTTAAAAGATATGATTGGTTGCCAGTATAAAAATTTTTTACTCTGACAGTGTATAAGTGATTAACTCTAAAATTAATTTATGCACTTATTTTTATAAAAGTGATTTTTATAACTTCACCAAAGTTAAAGTAAACAATTTCATTTTAACTTACGAAAAAAATTCAATATAATTTTGTTTCTCATTTTTTATCCTAAAAATATTTATAGAAAAATATCTACTCCAAAACCTAAATTAAAATAGTATAGAAATCATAATGCATGAGAGTCGCACACCTTTGAGAATTAGCGTGTTGGACGAGCCGAACCCATATGTCAGGGTGGATTTCAACCCAATTATATATGATCAAGTTTCCCTTTAAATTTATCCTCCTTTGGATTCACTCCAAACATGTTGAATCCAATAATATCTTTTATTAATTAGTGTATTCAGTATATATTATTTTCTGTGATTATATAAAAAATTGTGAAAAATACTGTTTAGTCTTGATTGATATTTCCCCTAAAAAAAAAAGAGTCTTGATTGATATTGTTATTAAAAAAACATATATTCTTTAATGTTTATATATATATATATATATATATATATATAAAGGAAAC